CTAATGGTTGTTTGATTTTGCTTTTTTGAAAACCATTTTTACATAAGTCTATTTCATTTAATTGTCAAAAAATGTGGTTTGTACAATTTCTGCTTTGGGGGGAGGTTTAGTGAGTTTTTAATAACTCTACATATAATTAGTTATTACAGTTCCATTGATGTTTGAAAAAAAATTAAAAGATGTTCTTTGAAAAGAAAAAGCTTGGCATATATCTACAAAAAACAATGTTGTTCAAATACTTTATATCATTATTTTTATGCATTTGGTTTATCCAATACTGAGGTGCTGTCTTAAAGTCTCCCACTCCTAGTATAATTTCTTTTCTCTTTCTGTCATTTTTGTGTTATATATTTCAATTCTATGTTATTTGATTCTTAGGATTTATGAGTTTTATATGCTCATTGTGAATTGTGCCCTTTATCAAAATAAGATTTTAAAATCCCATTTAATGCACTTGATCTTGAATATAACTTTATTGTATATTACTGTTGCCATGCATGCTTTAATTTATGTTTGCTTATCCTTTTAGTTTCAATATTTCTCCTTTAAATGTTTGAATAGAGGCAAAAAAAAAATAAAGTGATAATTTAGGAGTATTTCTCCTATCCATAATGCTTTATTTTTCTTTATCCCTCTTTAAAAGTATCTCTTATATACAATATGCAGTGGGATTTTTAAAAAGTAATCTGAAAGTTTTTGTCATTTAATAAGGCTGATTAATCTGTTTATACTGTACTTATAACAATTTTCACTGTTACTTCTGTCATTTTGATTTTATGTAATTTTTCATCAAGTCCTTAATCACACCTACAAAGTCCCTTTACCATGCAAAATAAGATCTTCATGGGTTCCAGGGATTAGAATCTGTACATCTTTGGAGGGCCATTATTTTGTCTACCACATAAGCAATAAACTCAACTGTGTTAGAAACAGGTTGTTCAGGTAATATTACAGAGAGCTAACGTTTGGCACACTATTAAGTGCTGCTTTTACAATTTGAAAACTTAAATAATGTTACCATATCTATGTAAGTTGAAAATGTGCATCTCTTTTTAATGTCATTTTAGAACCAGACGATGACATCAAAATTTAATAATGAGCATTGTCTCCCTAAATAATTATTTTATGCTTGTATTATGCAATAACCATATTTTTAAATAGTCATTTAGACAAGATTTATTTAACTGTATTTTATTGTAGTCCTTTAATATTTTTTGTTTGACTTGGGGGCAGCTAAAGTATGTCTTCAATTATTTTCAATAAACATAAGGTGATATGTTTTCTAAACACTTGTATATCTGAGCATATGTGCTATATTTGCTCATGAGCAAAAAATTGGCTGAATATAATTTCAGTAGATTATAATCCTTTCTACTTTCAAACTCTAAGCCAGTACTTTATTTCCTCTGACATCCAGTGTTACAGAAGGAATATGAGCCAAGAATAATTTTTGTGTGTAGGTATATGTACAATAGGTTTATTTACATACACAGAGAGACACACTACACTAAATACACACACTTTTTAAAAATTATCTTAATAGTAGGGTGTAAGCTTTATTCTCAACAATGAGTAGTGGCATTGGGGTTTAGATTGGCAAACACACAAGAACCAAATTTATTCATTCTTAAGAAAGAATACAAAGAAGGCAACAACACAGCACATGTGGAAAGGACTTAATGAAGGTCTTTGGACACCCAGACACAGCTTACTTTGTACTAGTCACTCCTTACTATGACATTGTGTGGTCATGAGAGATGAGATTGAGTGGCTATAGGCCATCTCAGCCTAGGAAAGCCATCAGCCCTGATGTTCCTTCTGCTTTTATGCTTAGCTAGTTGCCTAGGTTGTGTGTATGTTTGTGTATATGCAATTAGTCAGTCATCTCAGGGGTATGCAGCTACCTCTCAATCTCAAGTGCAAGTACATTTCTTCGATATCTGACACTTGTTACTTGATGAACAGTCATAGCTGCGAAGTATGAAAGTTTGGTCAGATACATAGGCCTCAGCTAAATTTTCATTCATCATGAATTTTAGAAATGCTATTTGAAATTCTTTTACTTAGCATTGTATCAAAAGCTGACTCTCCAAAATATCACTAGGACAGAGTTGAGTTTGTTGCTTATATTAGTGTGATAGGCAGAATAATGGCTCTCCAAATATGTCCAGATCCTAATCTCAGGAACCTGGGAAGATCTCTTACTTTACATGATAAAGGGATTTTGTAGATGTCATTAAGAACTTTGAAATGAGGATATTATCCTGGATTATCAGGTTGGGTCCAGTGTAATCATAAGGGTCCTCATAAGCAAAAGAATGAGACAAAAGAGTCAGCGCCAGATATGGTATGTAATGGAAGCAGAGGTTGGAATACGATTGCTGACTTTGAAGGTGGAGGGACATACCATGAGCCAAGGAATGCAGGTGACCGCTAGAAGTTGGGAAAGGCAAAGGAAGGGATTCTTGTCTAGAGTCTCCAAAAGCAATGCACTCCGGCTGACACTTTCAGTTTTGTCCAGTGAGACTTATTTTAGACTACTGATTTCCAGAACTGTAAGATAATAAATTTCTGTTGTTTTAAGATACAAAATTTGTGGTGATTTGTTTTAACAGCAGTAAGGAAACTAATATGCTTGATAAGGGAAAAAGAATGGGACAGTTTCTTGATAGTGTCTCAAAAGGTGAAGAACAAAGTGAGGATATTTACTGAGGTTTTAAAGCCTGGCTTAAAGGCAGGAATTTAATGTGGGAGGCTCAATTAGGATTGGATAAGGATCAGGATATAATATTTTAAGTTTGGTGGATACTGTAAGGCAAAGATTTTGGGGAGAGTGGTTCAAAAAGGGTCGTGAATCAAAGATGGGTTGATGCTTTTTATTGAAGTGTTGATGGGATAGTCCTGAAATGAACAATAAATTTATTCATAATTTCCATTTTGGGGGGCAAAGGTTTCCTGGAGTAGTAAAGTTATACTAATGAGTGTCAGGAAATAATAAAGTTATGTTGATGTAGATAGTAGGTTGTGTAAGTATGGATGGTTTTGATTCCCAGTTGTAAGGAAATAACTTGGTGCCAACATTTCAAGTATCCCTGAGGCTAGAGGAAAAGTCACAGAATCATCTGATAATCTTTTTCATCCTTGGTATCTTTTTTTTTCTTCTTGCAATTCAAATATTTCAACAGAGTACAAATAAGTTTTAGTCTGTTTTTATTCAGATGCTGGAATTTTTACTTAGGGTAAGAAATTGTTCTTTCCTGGTATGTTAGTTGACTGTGGCTGCTGTAACAAATTATCACAAACTTAGTGGTTCCCAACAAAAAAGTATTTTTTTCATCTTTCATCTCTCTAAGTTATAATACTAATAGAAGTTTGGTGTGGGTCTAAATGGGCAAAGGCCAAAGTACTGAGGCTGTGTTCCTGTCAGAGTCAGGGGGAAAAGAAATTCATGGTCCTTTCCAGCTTCTAGAGGTGGTGGATTCCTTGGCTGATGGTGTCCCCATCCACCTTTGAAGTTGGCAGTGACAGGCTGAGTCCTTCTTATGTTGCCAGCAATGGTTCTCTGAGGCCAAGAAAAGTTTTCTGCTTTGAATCATTTGTGATTAGATTGGTCCCAACTGAACAATGCAGGATAATCTGCTCATCTCAAGCAGATCTTAGTCTTTAACATGTCTGCAAGGTCCCTTTCACCAAGTAAGGTAACCTATCACAGATTCTGAAGGTAAGAACACATATGTCTTTGGGGCCACTATCCTGCCTACCACATCTGTAGTAAATCCTTCCCACATGTAAATACTTCCTTTACCTTTGGAAGGCACTACCCCCCTTTTCATATATTTATGAATATTTTATAATATTTTTAAGATTCATGCATTTTTGTTTGTTTCATTTATTTAGCAGGCTTGTTGTTTGTCGAAAACCAAATAGGTAGTTTCTCCTTGGCCCTATTAATATCTACTTTATTGTGTGAGAACTTTAGATCTTAAACCAGGAGGATCAATTTTCTACAGTGATGTTTTTGTGAGACGGGGCAGTTTTCCTCTCTCTGGTTACTGAAGTCTCTGCTGTCAGGGTATGCAATGAGGGTGGAGGGAAATCTCTTAGTCTCTTTATGACTAGTACCCCTGTTTTGGTTAGTGAACATTTTTTTAGAAGTCTTAAAGAATGTTAACCAGGTGTCCTGGTTTCAATGGCTATTTCATTTTTGTATTATTCTATGTTTTTAATGAGTAAAAGGGGAGATGTGGTAGGAAGAATCAGTTACTACTAGTTAGTTGTTCTTTTGCTTAGCAATCCCCTTGGTCAATTGCTTTTGATTTTCCTTCAACATCCTCACAATTTCTCTTTATTTTGTTGTTGTGTGGCACTCTGCTGCTGCTGAAGTTTTCCGTCTCATATACTCAGTCCTCTGGTTGTGCTCTGTCTTCATGGTAACCATATTTTCTTTTTAAGAAAGCATGCTTAGATTTGCCTTTTTTAAAATGTTGATTGATTTTTATCATTTTTTATTTTTGCAAATTGATGGATATGTATGCAGTTGTTACATGCATAGATTGCATAATGGTCAAGTCAGGCCTTTTTGGGTGTCTATTACCAGAATAAACATACCTTGTACTCCTTAACTGATTTTTCATCATTCTCTCCCATCCCATCCTCTCTCCCTCCTGAGTCTCTGTTTTCTCTCATTCCTTTATATGCTGCGGTGTTAAGAAGAGTGCTTTTTGCCCCTGCCCTCTGGCTTTCAATGCAATTTGAAAATAGGTCTTTTATTTTACCAAAATATGCAGGAATATTGCTTCCTGTTCAGCCTCACTGAACTTCTCCTAGAAAGTAGGAGTAGCCCCTTTTTAATCCCTCAGTGCACAATAAATATATGAGGCAGATTAAGTTAATACAAATACTTCTAAACTATGGGGAGTTATTCAAATGTAAGCTATTGTTATTTTCTATTGTTATTATAAAAGATAATAATACACATGCCTATGATATTTCTGCTTCAGACTCATCTTGACATCTTGGAAAAAAGTGTCAATCCCAGACAGGTCTACTTCCGGCGGGAGGTTCTCTGCCAGACGCTGGGAGGGAATCCATGTCCTTTGGTGACCATCACAGCCATGCCCGAGTCCAGCAGCGTTGACCATCTAGAGCAGTTCCGTGAGTAAAACAAGGATATTTTTTCTTGGGAGATTTAACTAAGAGTGTGCTCTAAGTCTCGGAAGCATTCTGTTCCTTTTAGATCACAAACTCCATAAAAGGTTGGGGACTTGTCATCTTTGTGGAAATATACCTCCAACTCTGTGGTATGAAACAAAGGGCAAATATGAATGCCACTCTTTTGTTAAAGGGAGAGAAAAATGAATTGCAAACTGTCAGGAAGATAAAATGACTTGGTGGCATAAAGAGCAGTTTGCTAATGATGGTCACTTCCTCTCCTAAAACATAACCAGGACTATGAGTCACATTTTCCAACCTCTAATCCAGGGACTTTTCTCACAGTGCTCACTGTTGTTATTCTACTCTCAGTCAGTCAAGGTTTGGAAAGGAAGGAAGCTGAGTCTTTGAACCTTGGCTGAAGAATTCTCTTGATAACCTGAATATCACTTGGGTATGGAGGGCTGAGTATACGAAGGAGGCTGTAGCTAAGAACTGTGAAGCAAACCAAAGCCAAACCCATGTACACATGGACGTACAGACACACACACGCAAACATACACACATAGAGATACGTGCACAAACACATACACACAGCCAGACAGACACAGACACACAAACACATATACACAAACAGACACACACACAAACACAAACACACAAACACACAGACACAGGTCCCTCCGCCTCCACATGCCCTTTTAATGTTAGAGTCCTGACATCAGTTCATAAATGTGACTGACCTGTCATCGAGTAGCTTTTGAAAATGGCTTCTGCCACAGTTTTAGACCTTAGCTAGGCAAGAAAAAACAAATTGAGGAATGCTTTGTGATACAGAGAAGTTTGGGAGATTGAAGAAATAACTGGGACCTAGCTAATTTACTCCCAGACGATACAGCCTTACCTGATGAAGTGCTAACCTCGTTCAGGTGACTCTGGTGGCCAGGAAATGTATTTTCTCACACCCCATCAGCAACTGACAATGCATACTTAACAACCTGGCTAATCAACAACTGATTACTCCATTTGAATTAACGAGGCCCTAAAATGCTTTAATGAATAATAAGGGATTTAAAAAAAATTCTCTAATGTGTTGACTGCATTTAAGAGCAATTTCTATAACAGTCAAAGAGGCCTTCACTCAGCAGATGAACAGTGCTTGGGAGCTAGAGATCCTTCCAGGGCAACTTTCATTGAACAATTATTTATTTAAGAAAGTGGATATGTGTAAGTCTGTGTTTTGCAGGTTCCATTTCTAAGGAGAGGTGAACAGTACCCCAATGTGTCATTATGACACGGAGGTGCCTCTGTTTTTGCATCTTGTTTGTGCCGACATTAGTGCTTTTGTTAATGTTGTAACTATAGAGATAATGCCTACTTTAAGGAGAGAACTTGAACATGGCAAAGGCCCCTACATAACTTGGCACTCCAACAAAATAGTTTGATTAAAAAGAGAGAGAGAGTGAGAGTGAGAGAGAGAGAGAAAAAAGATTTCTTAATACACTCTTAGGTGAAGCAAAAAAAGCTGCTTTCTGCTTGCTCTGTAAGATTAGTTATAATAAAATAATACTTTCATGAATCATTATCATTTTATTCTCTTAAACATATGCTAATATATCAGCTGCTCATCAAGAGGCATCGTGGACAGGAATAGGAAGAGCTCCTTTGATGGTCAGAAAAATTTCATTCATCTTTTTGTCACTAATAAAGTGACAATCATTGAGGTAGAATCTGAGAAAACTAGAAATCTGACCTAAGTGAAAGGACTAATTAGGAGTGTTTTCATTGGTGTGTAATCTGTACAGTTACATATGTCCTACACTCTGTTTAATGCCTTTTTGTCATCACCTTGAAATTCTTTATAGAATTTTAAACAAGGGGCACCACATTTTCATTTTCACTGGGCCCTGCAAGTTGTGTAGCCAGTCGTAGGAGTGATCTCAGGTCACGTAGCTAAAAAAGTGGCAAAGACTGGTGCCTGTCCCATCCCACCCTCTTTCTGAATTATGCAAAAAGAGTTCCAACCTATTTTGATCACTCACTGGAAATCTTATTTGTATGGATTATGTAGCTGATTGGTATCTTTCATCATGGAGATTAATTTCAGGTCCCCTCTCCCCCATATTACAGATGAGGTAAGTGGGACTCAGGGAGGTTAAATAACTCAGTGAGTGGTGGTGTCAGATTTCCAGCTTGTTATTCTGATTCCAGAGTCCATGCACACAACAAATGTGCTAACTCCTTCATCGTAACGTTTGTTCAGCATCAACCTTCTGGCTTCACTCTACGAGCCAGAGCTTCCTTGCTTCTTTATTCCTTGTCCTCAGATGATTAGACACTAGCTTAGTTAAAGCAACTCACACTAAATTGCCCACAAATAAATATATTACTCTTTTCCTGTTCACAATGAATTTTATTTTCCTTTCCTAACCCAAGGGAACATTTGCATGGTGGCTGTTTCAGACAGTGTAGCAAGAAGGGAAAGAGAAGATTCTTTTGGCCTGAAGACTTTTCTTTAGAGTTTCCAAATCCCAGCACAGAGCCGAGATTGCACGACCTGAGCTGAAGTGCTGGGGGCAGTCTCACCCAGGGCACATAATAAAAAATGTACAGAGTGGGTTGCAATATATATATGAACACATGCCATGATGCATTTCTAAAAGAAAAGAAAACAGTGCAATATAAACACCAACCTATGTTCCAAAGTGCAAGTAAACATGCCTGCAAATCAGAAATAAAACTTACTTAACCTCTTTTGAAGCATAGAATGTGATATATTGATTTAGGAGGAGAAAACAGCAAATGAACCAGCATATCAAGATTCTCCTACCTCTAGGCCTCCCTTCAGGTGAGATTAAATTGTTTTACCTACTTCCTCCTTCCCAGGGACTAGGACAGCTTCAGCACAGGGTTATATTTAGCTGCAATTTGGCCCATTTCTGGTTCAGTAGCTGCCACTCACCCCTCATAAGGAGGTATGAGTGGAAATAACCCACTATGTGGAATTATCATTTGAGTCTTATTTTAGCAATCAAAAAATATAAAAGCATGGCTATGGAACCCTAGGAGAATTCCTCTCTTAAGGCTGGTGCCCCTGATGGTCAGGTCTAAAGTCCCAGACCTGGAGATTATTGAGGACAACTTACTGATTATTTTTAGTTCTTCCCAGGGTGTGGGGTCCAGAGAGTCTCCTAGAAGTATTTATTTGGTTTGATTTATTTTTCAAACACATTTAAAAAAGTATTTTCCTGAAAACATTTAGCTGTATTGTCTTGATAAATATATTTTCAGTTAGTAGTCACCAGATCTGCCAACTGTACACTTGATAACTGTTTAGAGAATTGAGGACAATGCCTTCTTGCAATGTTCCCAATAAAGAAGACTTACTACTTTGCACCTTGATATTTGAGCCCTCAGAGCCAAAATGCTGGCAGGTCTTCAAGAGCAAAATCACTCTCTGACCTTTTCAGTAGGACAGGGAACAGAGAAGTTCTCTAAGAAATTGTCATTGATGCCATTATGGAATAGAGGGGCTTGGGAAGGAATTGATGATAAAAGGGAACCCTTATGAAAGGATCAACTGCTCAGTCTAGCATCAGAGATTCCTAGTGATGGATAAGGTATTGGGCAATTAGGAAGTCCATGTCCTTCCTAATTAGTAGGATTCGGGATGTCAGAGGAGCCCGGGCATTTGAAATTTGTAGAGCAGAGTGAGTGAGAAGGAATGAACAGAATCCAAGAGAATGGAGCAGATGCTTCAGCTGGTTGGAGCAGAAGGTATCCAATGAACAGGACTGAGGGGTAAGATTGGTAGGCAAGATCAATCCAGGAAAATCTTTCTAGTGCTTTCTGACACTAGTCTCCATTGGTTAATGGTGTTTTAGCATAATTACATTTAGCGTAGTTAAGTCCTTTACCACATTATATGTTCATAGGTACTTTGAACAGACCCTTAAAAATGCAACTTCCAGGTAGGGTTGAGAAGTTATATACCTTTATTTTGTGTACTCGTCAAGAATGCGATGTGTGTGGACGGGTAGTGTGGTGTCTGCTTTCTTGAATTTGAACTGAGAAAAGATGCTGAATTTAAGCAGAATCAGATAGAAATTCAGAATAAAGAGACTTGGGGAGTAACTATTTATCTAAACCTGGAGAAGAGGGTGGTTCTCCTTTTTCCAGATGAAGCCATTTCCCAAAGAATGCCTGCTTTCAGTGTCTTCTCACACAGAATGTGCTGCCTCTGTGTGGAAACTATCTTTACTCATGACCTTTGGGCCTTCTAGGCTTGTTGTCTTTATCTCCCACTGAAGACCCATTGAACACATTGCAAGATATCCTCCCTAATAAGCTTGGCCTTACTGCAAAATTATTCAAAAATGCATCCAATCAAAACATGCTGCTTATTGAAGACCACCATCATTTTGTTAACTGGTTTAATCCTCATGTCCCCCATAACCTCATATTCTAATTGACCGTTGGGCCCTGAGAAAGTTGAATCTCATTTTTGTTTGGGAAACTGTCTTATTTTTCTTAGGAGCTTTACTGCCAAATTGAACATCTATATATCCAGACCCTATGACAACATTGTCTTGACTGTCCTTAAGAGTGATTTGAGAGAAGGAACTAATTTGTGAGAATTTTCTGAGGCAAAATGTCATTCTCTTATTAGAAACTCTCATCCCTCCAAGTGAATAGTCACTGACTGACTCACTGACTGTTGAGAAGTCAAGAAACAACAAAGGTGGCTGGGAGGGGGTGGATTTGCTATTTTTGAAATCTGAGACACCTCCACCCTGCATTTATTATAACCTAAAAGAACAGAGTATAACCTTTATATATCTCTGGAGGTGAGATAATCTCGCTCCCCTGCCACAGTCTCCTTTGGCTTACGCACTGTTCTTTCCAGGGGGCCTGAGGTAGGGGGAGCTGGAGGTTGCATTTGCGATTGTTAAAGAATACCTTTCTCTTTTCCTTTTTCTTAAAAATATTCTTACAAAAGCAACGTTCTATT